TAGTGGATTAGGTAATATGTATTATTCGTAGTATGTTAGTCTTTGATGCAGTTTGATGTTATGTGTATTTTGATATGTATGTATGTATGTATGATATATTATTGTTTTATTAAAAATAATTTTTTAAAAAAGAATTCCTCCTGAACAGAATTTTTATTTATTTTTTATTTATTTGTTTATTTTATTTGATTTATATCCCGCCTTTCTCTCCAGAGGGGACCCAAGGCAGCTCACAAATAAAAATTCTAAAAACATTATATATATATATTTTCTTTATTGGTTTTCTTAATAACAATTCAAACAAAGCTTATTATAGAAATCTTTTACAGTATTGTTATTTATTACATTATAAGTTACCGCAATATTCCTACTTCTGTAATCTGCTCAGTTTTCCATCCTAAGGCTTCATTAACATATATTTGTTCACATCCATTTATCGAACATTATTTGAACAAATATTCTTCCTCCTAAACTATTATAATTCATCTTACGTACAACATATTCTGTTCAGTGTTATCTTTACTATTATTCTCTCCGGAGGGGACCCAAGACGGCTCACAAATAAAAATTCTAAAAACATATTACAATAATACAGTTTAAATCTCCCCTAAAAACAATATAAAATTACAAACATTCAAACCACACTGAAACCATGATAGCCACCCTATATAACAAATAGCCAAGCCACCCCATGATTATACATTAAAACCCTGCTTGAATAAAGCTGTTTTTGCTTGCCGGCAAAAGGCAAAAGCAAGGAGGGGGCCAGCCTTGTTTCTTGGGAATTCCAGAGGGCCGGAGCAGCCACCAAGAAGGCTCTCTCTTGTGTCCTCACCAGACAAGCCTGTGATGGTGGTGGGACCGAGAGAAAACCTCCTCCTGAAGATCGTCGGGCTCTGCCTAGTTCATACAGGGAGATACGGTCTCTCAAATAATCTGGACCTAAGCCGTGTAGGGCTTTATAAGTCAAAACCGGCACATTGAATTGTGCCTGGAAGTGAACTGGTAGGCAGTAAAGCTGTTTTAACAAGAGAGTTATGTGGTCCCTATAACTGGCCCCAGTCAGCGTTCTGGCTGCGGCATTTTGCACATGCTGAAGTTTCCAAACAATTTTTATTTCAGAAGGCTGAAATGAAGGACGTGTCCTGGAAAAGGAGGACATCTGGTCATCGTGTCTCCAGGGAAATGGGAGGAAAGAGAGGGGCTTCCAGCCAGATGGTTTCTCTCTGGTCTCTTCTCTCCTTTGGCTATATGGCTGCATCTATGTTGTTGTTGTTGTGTGCCTCCAAGTTGTTTCAAATTTATGGTGACCCATGGCAAGATTTGTTCAGAGGAGGTTTGCCATTTCCATCCTCTGAGGCCGAGAGAGTGAGACCTGCCCAAGGTCACTCAGTGGGTTTCCATGGCCATGAAGAGATTCGAACCCTGGTCTCCAAAGTTGGAATCCAATGCTCACACTGCTACGCCATGCTGGTTTTCTGCAGGCTGAAAAGATTTTCCAAAAGGTTCAAATCAAACTCTGGACCACAGAAGTGCTCTGACGCCTTTTGAAGTCATGCAGATGCAGCCCCACGAAAGATTGTATGCATTGCTGCTCACTTTTCTAGATGATGCACACATGTACATCCACAGCCATTGCAAAGCAAAATCCCTGGCTAATCCATTTTAGAAAATTGTGACGGACTGGAAAGAAGGCAGGATGGCCATCTGTTAGGGATGCTAGAGCTGGATTGAGAATCTGTACTTAGCTGTGCATGTGTGTGGGATGAAGAGGTTGGAACAGATCAGCCTTTCCTCATATGATGTCCCCCAGATGCTTCAGGCTGCAATCCCAATCTAGCATTGGCAATGGGTTGGGATGCTAAGAGTTGTACTGCAAAATATTGGGTAGGGGCACCATCAAGGAAAAGACTGGACTACACAGTTTCCAAATTCTGTTCTAACTCTTACTGAATTTTAGCAGCTGTTTGCACTAAATGTTCGGTTTCATAAGCCATGAATATTTGTTACACAAATGTATATACAATATATATAGAGATCTTGTAGCATCTTTGAGACTAAATGAATGAAGACTTCAGTCTACTTCGTAGACTGGCCAATACTAGTTTAGAGGAACAGGCATTACTCTATTTAGAGGAATACCTATTAGTTTAGAGGAACAGATATTCCTCTAGTTTAGAGGAACAGGTATTCAGATGAAGGAGACTGAAGTCTACAAAAGCTCATGCTGCCAACTTCTTTATTTTAGACTAATATATTTGAAATGCATATACAGGTTTAGTATCCCTTATCTAGAATTCCAAAATCCAAAATCCACCAAAATTGTCCCCATGAATAGCTGTGCTTTCTGATGATTCAGTGTACACAAACCTTGCTTCATGCACAAAATTATTAAAACTATTTAGTCTAAAATTACTTTCAGGTTATGTGTATAAGATGTATGCAAAACATAAATTAATTTCATTTTTAGACTTGGGTCCCATCTCCATTATGTCTCATTATATACATGCAAATAATCCAAAATCCAAAACACCTCTGGACCCAAGCATTTTGGATAAGGGAGACTCAATCTGTATAATATTATATTATACATTATATTTTTAAAATTTATATATGCATACATACACACATAATTATATCATGCAATATTTGGAGAACAAATTTAGTATGCAATATTTGAAATACTACCTGTAAATTTCCCCCCGAAGGCTTCAGTCTTGGGAATTCAAGACAGGAAAGAGGGACTTGGGGAGTATGTGATCAGTTAATACCAAAGAGGGCAGGTGGCTTTCCTTTAGTTTTTTCACTTCTTTCTCTGTGGTTGGGAGAGGATAGAAATGTCTGGTCGCCTTCTTCCTCCTCTCCACTCCGGGCACAGGACCCCTGTGAAAATGGAAAATCCGCAAATAAGAAAACATTACTTTTTTAACCTAAGAGACCACCACTCTAGGAATCTCTAGGTCCTCCAGCACAACTTCTATGATCAACCTCTGTCAAAAATGGATCATAAAATCATGCTGGAGGACCTAGAAACACATAGAGAAGTGTTTTCTCTAGTAATCTCTAAATCCTCCAGCTCAACTCTATGGTGAATTTCCAGCAGAATCTCTCTGGAGGACCTGGGGATCCCTATAGAGGACTTATCAAATCGGCAAATAATCAAAACCACAAAAGTCAAAACCGCAAATGTGGAGGACCAACTGTAGTACCAATTAACTTTTTTTAAAAGGTCATTGTGTTCCACTGTATCCCCAAAAGTAATCTGCTAGAGGTAACATTGCTGCTACTTATAATGTGTTACGGTCATAGACTAGTGACAACCAAATTCTGTGAGAGGGTACTAGGGATCACGCAAGTGATGGTGATTTGAAAAATAACACATTTTTAAACAGCTATTAGCTATAATAATTTTTATGCAGGGGCACTTTAAGTCCTGAAAGTTATTTCATGGGTTCTTTCAGGGTAAAAGGTTTGAGAAAGGCTGGACTAATGTTTTTACTGGGTGAGGATGACAGATAGAGGCAGGAGTAACTCATGTGATTTAGGCAGCTGGAAGAAATATCCTTGTAACAATGGGAATTCTGCCAGCTATATCAAAGAGCGCTTAGGACAAGAACCTTTGCTTGAGAAACTGTTGGCACAGCACATGGTCAGAACTGGCCTTCTACTATGGGCATAACATAGAAACAGTTCTTATTTACATAGAATTATACTACTGATAGGAGACTAAGGGCCTCGGCAGACGGCTAATAGAGCCGTCTTGGAGGCAG